TGAAACTCAGGATAGATGAACCTACATAGACAACAGATTGAATGAGAACTCCTGGGGGTGGGTACAGTGGGAGAGGAGAGGATAAAGAGGAGCTGATATCAAGGAATTCAAGAAAGAAGATTTTTTGAAACTGACCATAATACTGCTTGATGTGATTGATAATGATATCTGTGAAAGCTCCCAATAAAATGGTTTTGGGGGGGAAAAGTAATCCCCCCTAAATAGGAAAAAAAATTAAAATTAAAATTAAAATGATTAAATTTTTAGAGCTAACAGATATACAATAAAAATTTGAAATTATATGTGCTTTTAGAATATCTCAATTTGTAGAAATAACCTTCTGATAAAACTCCTATTTTAACTGGATACATTCATAATCTATACCAGGAAGGAATAAAATCCAATGACTTCAGATTTTACAGCACCTAAATTTAGAAAAATGCTCAAAGGAATCAAAGAGTTAACTTATTGGATGAGCTTTTTTCTTATAAAAAAAACATTTGAGCTGAATTTCAATTTAAAAATAAAAACTGAAATATTTTCCTTTCCTCATAAATTCCTCTGAATTTACTAGCTATCTTAGCCCCTAAAGAATATTTTTATGATTAAAAATTATTAGGGCTTACAGAGAATCAATAACATACTATTAAACTAGAGATAGGACTCCCTAAGTGGTGTTTGACTGCCTACAGAAGGGTGGAAGGTTCCAATGGATGAATGGATGGATTGTGATAAGATCTGTGTGAGACCCCAACAAAATGATTAAAAAAGAAAGGTGGAAGGTTCCAGTCGAGTTAGAAGTATCTCTGAAGAGAAGTCTGGTGATCTACATTTAAAGAGCCTGCACTGAAATGCCACAGAGGATAGTTCACGTCTGAAACATGGGGCTGTCATGAGTTGGAGTAGACTTCACCGCAACGTGATACTGGCTTTGGGGAACAGATCCATGATCAAAGTACTTGTAAATGTATCAAGAATAATCACTAATTTTAATGTTCAGATAATCAACTTAATTACTCATGTAATGAAGATGTGTTTACTCTAAATAATTTTGTTTTTGAAAATAGGTTTCTGAGTACGTTCATCACTAGAGGAATGTCTTGGGTCACACCGGGCTCTAGAAGATTATGTATCTCTTATAGCTCCCTTTGCTCCAGCCCTTGATTCTAGAGTGTCTCTCTACTTGAATGAAAAGGTCATTCTTTGATTAGTTAATTGGTAAGATAAAGACAATTCATCCAGGAGAAAGACGGGGCTTTCTACGCTTGTAGAGTTATAATTTCAGAAACTTATGTGAGACCTTCTACCCTATCCTTTCAGGTTGCTATGAGTCAGCATCAACTTGATGGCAGTGAGTTTGGATTTTGGGTTTTTTGTTAATTCGTATACATGAACATATACCAGCCACCTTTTTGTTCCCTTTCATAATGGCTAGTCTACCGTATATTGACATTCAACAATGGAGTGTGTATTAAGAACAGAGAGGATATAACACTGACCCACACCTTTCCTAATTTTAAGCCATGCAGTATCCCCTTGTTCTGTTGGCGCAATTGTCTCTTGATCCTTGTACAAGTTCCACATGAACACAGTGAAGTGTTCTGGGATTCCCATTCTTCTCTAGGCTATCCATAGTTCGTTATGGTCCACATAGTCATATGTCTTTGCATAGTCAATGAAATGCAAGTACACATCTTTGCGATATTGTCTACTTTGAGCCAAGATCCATCTGACATCAGCAATGATCTCCCCATTCCACGCCCTCTAATGAATCTGACCAGAACCTCTGGCAGTTCTCTCTCAATGTATTGGTGCAACTGTTGTTGGATAATCTTCAGAAAAATGTTACTTGAATGTCATATCAATGCTATTTGTTCTATAGTTTGAGCATTCTGTTGGGTCACCTTTTTTATAGTGGGTTACAAATATGGTTCTCTTCCTGTCAGTTGGCCAAGTAGCTATCTTCACAATTACCTGGCATAAAGGAGTGAATGTTTCCAGTGCTTCATCAGTTTGTTGAAACATTCCATTGGTATTCCATCAATTCCTGGAGTCTTGTTTTGGATTAATATTTTCAGTGCAGCGTGAATTTCTTCCTTCTGCACCATTGGTACTTGCTTTTGAGATGGTGAAATGTTGACTAGTTCTTTTTGGTACAGTGACTGTGTATTCTTTCCATCTTCTTTTGATGTTTCCTATATCATTCAATATTTTGCCCATAGAATATTTCAAGATTGCAACTTGAGGCTTGAATTTTTCTTGAATTCTTTTAGTTTAAGGTCAGCTTAGCGTGTTCTTCCTTTTGGTTTTCTAATTCTAGATCTTTGCACATTTCATTATAAAATTTAACTTTTTCTTCTGGAACTACCCTTTATTTAAATCAGTGGTTTTCAACCTTCCTAATGCCACAACCCTTTAATACAGTTCCTCATGTTGTGGTGACCCCCAACCATAAAATTACTTTCGTTGCTACTTCATAACTGTAATTTTGCTACTGTTATGAATGGGCAACTCCTGTGAAAGGGTTATTCTATCCCCAAAGGGGTCAAGATCCACAGGTTGAGAACCGCTGCTTTAGATGTTTCTATTCAGCTCTTTGACTTCATCCTTTCTTCGATTTGCTTTAGGCACTCTCCCATTATGAGCAAGTTTTAGAGTCTCTTCTGACATGAACTTTTTTTTTTTCTTTTTACTGACCTTTTCTTTCTTTATAAATGATAGTCTTGATATCCTCCTACAGCTCACCAGATCTTCTGTCATTAGTTTTCAATGCATCAAGTCTTTTCTTGAGATGTTTACGAAATTCAGGTAGAATAGACTCAGGGTCATATTTTGACTTTCTTGGGTTTGTTTTAATTTTCTTCATCTTTAATCCCGAACTTACATATGAGCAATTGATGATCTGTTCCACAGTCAGCCCATGGCCTGGTTTTAGTTGCTAATACTGAACTTCTGCATTGTGTCTTCTCATAGATGTAGTCAATTTGATTTCTATGTATTCCATTGGGAGAAGTCCACGTGTATGCCTTTTATGTTGTTGAAAAAAGTATTTTCTATGAACAAGTTGTTCATCTTGCAAAATTCTATCATCCAATCTCTTGGTTTGTTTCTATCACCAAGGTTATATTTTCCAACTACTGTTTATTCCTCTTTGTTTCCAACTTTTACATTTCAGTCATCAGTAATTCACATTTCATCTTGATTGCATGTTTGATAAATTTCAACCAGAGGAAGTTTATAGAATTCTTCAACTTCTTCATCATTAGTTTTTGTGGTTGGTGCCTAAATTTGAATAATCATTGTGTTGATTGGATTTCCTTCAATGTCAAAAGATAGAATTCTGTCACCGACACCATTGATTTTGCAATATCCTTTTTGGCAATGAGTGTCATGCCATTCCTCTTAATTGTGTTATTCTCAGCATAATAAATCATATATTCTGAATCAAAGTAGCCAATGCCAGTCCTTTCAGCTCACTAATGCCTAGGATATCGATCTTTATGCATTCCATTTCGTTTCTGACCATTTCCAATTTCCCTACATCCATACTTAATACATTCCAATTTCTGATTATTAGTAGATTTTTGCAGCTCTTTCTCCTTGCCTTGAGTGTTGCCCCATGAGCAAATGAAGATCCCGAAGGCTTCACTCCCACAGGCTCTACCCCACTCATGTTACCATGGTCAACTCCGCTCTGAAAAATCAGCTCCTCCTGAGTCACATTTAAGGTGTCCTCCAACCTGAAGGGACTATGTTCTCGCACTATCTTCAACAATGTTTGCTACTGCCATCGTGCTTGACGAGATTGAACAATGCAATGACATGTCATTGGGGTTAATTCCCAAATAACAATAAATGGAAAAAACAAACATAGATCCAGAAATGGGTTTTAGGCTCACACTAAATCCAAGCTCCAACTTAAAAACAATTAATTCTTACATCAAGGCCCTACGGGTGTTAAAGCAAAATGTGGCAAAGAAATTAGATAGTGCCCAGCTATCAGATAAAATAGCATCTGGGGAGGGATTAGTATTAGATCCTAAAGTCTGAATCAGGTTTGCAGAAGGCTATGGATGACCATGGGAGCCCAAAATTCATTGGTGGAACTATATAGTAAATAAGCCTCTAGTGAACTCCCTGTGTCCACAATTGAGGATAGGAGGAAAGTGGTTCCTAAATGGAGTGCATTGGAGAGTTGAGTACAGAAGGTCAAGGGGCTTCCGGTCAGGCTGAGGCTATTACGCTTCACTGTGAGTCTCACTCAAAGCTAGGTAAAAGACTTCAGGTCAGAATGGAAAGCTAGGTTTTGCTTTGTGTCTCCCAAAGTCCAGCCAATGGACTTCCCAGCAGGTTGTGGAAGCGAGAAAACTTTGGCATCTCCATTCAGGCCAGGGAAGATATTCCCGGTCAAGCTGGGAGGGTGTAGGGAGGGTGGGGTGGAAAAAGGGAACCGATTACAGGGATCTACATATAACCTTCTCCCTGGGAGATAAACAACAGAAAAATGGGTAAAGGGAGATGTCGGACAGTGTAAGATACGACAAAATAATAATTTATAAATTATCAGGGGTTCATGAGGGAGGGGAGAGCTGGAAGGGAGGGGGGAAAATGAGGAGCTGATGACGGGCTTAAGTGGAAATCAAATGTTTTGAGAATGATGAGGGAAATGAATGTACAAATGTGCTTTACACAATTGATGTATGGATTGTGATAAGAGTTGTATGAACCCCCAATAAAATGGTTAAAAAAAATAAAAGTCAAAGGCATAAGCCTGACTTGAACAGTTAAAATTTGTCAGCAGATTTCCCCCTATGCTGTGTGCTGAACCTGATCTGATTTCCAAAATTTTATGTATTTGAGGGTGTACCTCAGAAGTGTTCTGTCATAAGTTGCGATATATGTTTTTTCGTGTTTTGGTGTATGAACCTATAGAGTCAGCAAGGGGAATAAAGGCTTTGGCGGGAGGAGGGCACAGAGCGGTGGGCAGGGTGAAAGGCGTGATGACGGCAAGAGGTCCAAATAGAAAAAGAATGTGTGGAAACTGGGGCAGCAAATGTACAACTCTGCTGGATGTGATTGAACTATACAATTCTGCTGGGTCTGAATAACTTAATATATGTATTAACCTCAATAAAAAAGAATAACAAATGTACAAATGTGTCTGACACACATGGGTGGATGGATGGATTGTGATAAGAGTTGTACGAGCCCCCAATAAAATGATATATATATATATATACATACATACATACGGTCAATTCTAACAGTTGAGTACTTCGTAGCTTTAACAATAAATAAAGGATAGTTCTGGACTTATCAACATTAGAATACTCTGAGAAACAAGATTGGTGAGATTTTGACTTGATTATTTCAGATATGTTATCAGTACAGACCAGTCCTAAGAAAAGACATTTTATTTGGTAAAATAGAGGTCAGTGAAAATGAGAGACACATTTAATAAGATGAGTAGTCAACAATGGATTGAAACATACTAATGATCATGAAGAAAGTTGAGGACACTGCAATAATGTTACAAAACAAAATGTATATGAATTATTGAAAGAAAAATTATTTCTCTGTAGACTTTCACTCAAATAGCAATACGAACCTTAAAAAAAAAAAGACGGCACATGATCAAGCAAAATTGCATTTTGCTGTACCTGAGGTTGTAATGGTTAGAGTCTACCCAGGGACAATTAATATGGACAAAAACATGGATGGATCCTGGAAACACAATGTCAGCTGAAAATGAGTAAGATGCTAAATAGTTCATTTGCTATTTATGTAGATTTGCAAAGTAGGCAAATCTGTTCTTTAATGTGTGTAAGAAACATAGCATGTTAGTAATATTATAGCATGTCATAAAATGACATACTTGTTATTTACTTAAATATATTTTATGAATTTCTTTTTGTGTATTTTAACTTTTAGTAAAATAAATCTTTGAAATCTTAAAAAAAGAAGAAAAAAAAAAAGAGGCTATAATGGTCGTCATGTAAAACACAAGGCATCAAAGTTACAGTGAGTAAAGGTTAGACATTCCCAAGCATTTGTGTGGCTACTTGCTGAGTAGATTCCTTGTTCCATTGCTTTTTGGGACGCCTTTAAAATGTTTGTTTGTGTTGAGGGAGTACTTGAGTGGAGGCCCAATGTCCTTCTGCTACCTTAATACTAAACCTATAAATGTAGGCTCATAGATCTATTTCCCCATCCTCA